TTTTTTACCTTTCCTATACTATACTTTGCAATCCGAACGTGCTGTTGTCCTGTTTGTTGTTCTAACATTCTAACCCGCCCCTACGAGACATCTTTATAGCTCATCAGATTTCTCCAGTATAAATAAAAACATCCTGATTCTGAAATCTCGCTGCGTTCACGCCGTGTCCTCACGTCGACATGTGTCCTCTGCGTCGTCTGTGGTTCTCACGGTGAGATCAGTGGGGCTATTGAATGTCCCCCGCTCCATCATGGGTCCCGTTACTCAATCGCCTCCCTGTTCTCAAATTACCGACAGAGCCACGGGCCGAGCACGCCATCACTACCCCATTGTGGAGGGAGACGGAGGCGCGGCTACGCAGTTTCCTCTGGCGTCGAGCGGTGGAGAATGAGTGAGCTGTACGCCGCTATTTGACATGGTTTTTGTCATTGGGTTCGCCGTTTGATCGCCGCAGTAAGAAGCAAAAGATACGTAACAATGATGTTGCAATGCATCGATTCAGAAGTTTAAAAAAAGAATGCACAATGCACGCATTGAATCGTGTGCGTAGGAGTTGCTTATTTTTGTTGTTGTAAGCATTGTATGTAATTGGTTCACGTGACCCCCTGCAGCCACTAGAGGTTATACATTCACCACGGAAGATTAAATTATTGATTCCCGAATTGAATCGCAACCCCTAATTGTGACAGTTTTTTTCTACTTGCAAGCTATTCACATTGTTACATGCCTCTTGTGTCATGAATATTTGTATTATATAGAGTCGGGGTAATTACATCGATAATTGCCGTTACGTGTGGAACGCGTGTTGAATTGAATGTCGGGGTCTGAGCTTCAGCGCTGAAATAATTTCATCACTGTACAGTGCCAAGTCCATCTCTGTGTCCTGCTAATAAGCCCTGGCAAGCCACTGAGTGCTTGGGCTTAAAAGCTCTCAGGTCAGGCATGTATTAATTCCATTACGCCAGCACTGCTGCACAGAGGTTGATAAACAACACATATTTATAAGAATTTGTTTTACCCTTTCTGGCAATAAAACAGTTGTGTTAAGATGTTAAACACCAAACAGAAACCCTTTGCAAGGAATCATTTCTGCATTAATCGCATATACTTGTGGTGAACATGCAAACCAAACATACTCTTAGGTTTTTTCGATGAAGTCACGTAGGTAGAAATAAAAATAAATTATAATAGAAATAATAATAGAAATAAAATAATAAATCACGACGTTTCGCAGGCAACACAACTCTCCGTCATCAGGTGGGAGCGTCAGCTAAATTTACTGTATAATGATTATTTATTTTTACCTACGTGACTTTACCGAAAAAACCTAAGAGTATGAATCCTTGCAGTCACGAAAGCTTCAAATCTACAAACCAAACATGTTCTGGTAGTATATGATGATGCATTGTTTTTTTAAACTGATTGGTCCACACCAGAGACAGCTTTCTTTAGAGCCTCGTCTCACTAACAGTGTTAGACCAGAAGACGTCAAGAGGCGAACAGCACAAAGACAATGCCACTACCAGGGCATTGAGAGCCCGGGGTGAGCAGATGCATCATGGGACCGTCTCTTGCCAATATCAAAATATAAGAATTGGTTTTACCCATTCTGGCGATAAAACAGTTGTGTTAAGATGTTAAAACACCAAACAGAAATCCTTTGCAAGTGTTTTACAAGGGAACGCCAAAAGGCGACTCAGCTCTAAAGAAAGCTGTCTCTGGTGTGGACCAATCAGTTTCAAAAACAATGTATCATCATATACTACCAGAGCATGGTTTTGTTTGCATGTTCACCACAGGTATATGCGATTAATGCAGTACACGATTCCTTGCAAAGGGTTTCTGTTTGGTGTTTTAACATCTTAACACAACTGTTTTATTGCCAGAAAGGGTAAATCTAATTCTTAGATTTTGATATTGACAAGAAAGGTCCCAACAAATATATGTATCTATATACCTCCTAGCTGCCGAGAAACACTGTCCAATCCTTGTACTGACAGATCCTTTATATTTATTTTAAAAAAACATGAAAGGAGGCCTCAGGCCGAAAATCTGCAGCGGGATTCTGTTATCCAGTCCAACTTGAGCCGTTTTATTTGTAACACATTTCTCAAGGCCGCCACGGAGGAAGGGACCTCGCGCACTGCTCGCCCAATCCGACTCGAAGGCGTCCCGGCGATTAGATCCCACGGAGGACACCGTCGTCACCTGCCCGGTGAGACCGCTGCCAACGCCCCGTGCCAAGCGACGCACGGATAATTCCCCAAATGTGCCGCGCTCTATTAGCCCGAGCGCATGAATATTTAATGCAAAAGCGCACGCGCATATTCCGATCATCGCGGCTTTGTTAATTTTTCCCTTCCCTCCCCTCCCGCCCCCGCATCTTAACCGCACCGCGATACAATCACGGCAAAAAATAAGGCGAGCTCCAGGTGACCGTGGCGAATTCTCACGCGACGGCTTCCTCCCCGTGATTTGAATCGCACGCGCGCATCCTCCCCTTGCCCCGTCGTCAGCGATGTTCGCACGGACGCACGCAAGCAGCGCTCGCCCGCTGCTGCGTGATGCGAGCGCATCGTGTGCATGGCCCGTGTGGGTGCGTGCCTCGCCGTGCGCGGTGGTAGACGAACAGCAGGGTACGCACAATTGTGAACGTACCTTGGCGAGCGAGCGACGTGTTACAGTGCCCGGGCAGGGCGCTCCTTCGGTGAGTGTGCAGCGTGCCGCCAGAAGGCAGAGTGGCTATTGTTCCACGTTCGTCGAGCAGCAAACCCCCCGCAAAAAAACGGACAAAGGCTCGAACCACATCGACCAAAAACAAAGACGAGTTGGCAGGATGGATTTATTAAGCATCCCTGACTGTGCGGCTGCGTCTTTCACGAGAAGAAAAGGAGAGGCGCGTAACAAAGGAGCGCGGATTTTCTTCCCGGCGTTCAAATGACAAGAGGACGTCGCCTGTCGTCTTGACGCCAGATGTTGCACGCGATGACGGATGACAGGTCGATGCTGCCGATCTCGCCCCCCCTTTACGCAGAAACTGAACGATCGCTCCGCTGCAGCGATTTCGTTTTAAAATACAGGATACGCAACTGACGCTGTTCTGAGCATCGTATATACACACGCGCGCGCGCGCACGTCTAAGACGCAGACGTCATCCGCTTACTGTAATTTAAAACAGGCCACCACCCACAAAGTGACGGACGCTCCTGGATGTGGAGAGCCGACGAGCCTTCTGCGTTGGTATCTCACCCTTCCAGTAGGACGCGCCCGAATACCCCCCCCCCCAACCTCTCTCTCCTCCTCATCCCTCGGCCTTGTCTCTTCCTCCCACCCACCCACCACTAATCCCTCCCCACGCAGTATCTCTCCCCCCCCCCCCCAAGCAACTCTCTTCCCAGAAGGGCTGGGAGTTGTTTGTCTGCAGCATTAGCAATTTTTGTAATTTTTGTTTTACTGAGTACTGCTGCGAGGGCTTATTTGAGCTGGGTTTAGCCATTGGGTGACCATAGCTTCTATGACGCCACGGTGGGCTTTGTTATGATGGGTTTGATGTTAGCCACATATTTGAAAATGGGAATTGTCATTTAAAATTCATCCTCATTTGATCAAGCGTATCAGGTGATGGGCATTGTTTCATATTCATGATTATGATTGAAGCGAAAACGTTGATGTTGGGTTTTATTTATTTATTCTTAATTCACGATTTTCCCTTGCTGAGATTAGTTGTATTCTGATGCATGCATATTGGGTGGAACTGTAGGTGCAGTGGCTGGCTCGCTGCATTAGGAACCCGATGAGCTGAGTTCGACTCCCGTGGATTTACAAAGGGCTGTACATAACATGCGTCCTTGTTTTAATCCATTACACGCCAAAAGTAATGTGCATTATGCAATGTGTCTCTTGCACATTTGGCCATGCAGAGACGAACCTTAAATGCGAGTGGCTGCATTTTATGGTTCGTTCAAATGTCACATGCGTGCACAAATATAATGATGATAGCAGTTATGAAACTGCCTTGGCAACTGTGCTTTTACCCTGCTCACGTGCCCGTAGCGCTGCGTCGTGCTAGCACTAATCAGGAACATCGTGTGCTGTGCTCAGCACCACACGGCTCGCTCCGAGCGCTCGTAACAAAGAATAAAAGTGTCCCCCTCCCCCATCCGTGAAATATGATCGTCAACCCAAATATCGCGTCGTCGCGTTATTTTTCCATCCTAAATTGCCCCTGCGTGGGCATCGACCGTTCCATTAGCAGCGAGGGCTTGGAGCTGTTATTGTGAGTGTTTCACGCGAACCCTTGGTGTGGGCCCTGTGTCTTTCTCAAGTGCAATGTGAGTCAACCGGGATCAGTTTAGACACTAAAATTGGAGCGCGCCTGTCGCAGACGAAGGAGAGTCGGCTAGCAGCGGACATCGAGCTGGCAACGCCGTAAAATGAGGTGTTGCTTCCCAGCGGCGCAGCACGCGGCTTGTGACTTGCTCAGTGATATCACATTTTAGCGGCGCTTGCAGCCTGAGCGAGGTGGCGTGGGAAATTGCAACATCAAAGGCGACGTCTAAAAATACACCACGTTACGTTATAGGGCTTGTTTAATTTTATAAACGAGGGCTACTTTCGAGGACGTCAAGAGAAGCCGTCTTTCGGGTGATTTGGTGGATGATTCTGGTCGTCACCGTGGAAATGTGGAATTTTAATTGAAACAAAGTGCCAACGAAAAGCTGGTTGAAGTTGGGACGATACTTTGACTTTAACAAAATTTTTTTATTTTTTTGTAGCAATATTCCACTTTAAGCATGCATACTCGTTGGTTCTTTCGGTAAAGTCACGTAGGTAGAGAAATATTTTTTTTATTTTTCTACCTACGTGACTTTACCGAAAACCAAAGAGTATGGATTCCTGCAGTAACGAAAGCTTCAAATCAAGATTTAAGCATACAGTAAAAAAAATTATGTTCAAGGTGACCAGCCAAAAATCATGTTATATGCGGGAAAATTTTAGATGAGGGACTTCGAAAATGAATTGTAGGGAAATTCTGAAAATCGGGGAAGTTATAATCAAGATGCCAAGTGTAATCCATTCATTGACAGACGCTTTACTGCTGTACATAATGCCATAAATTGGGGTTTCGCAACCACAAGTCCTAGCAACCCACCGCTGTCTGCCTTCCCATGCTTGCAATCCTGTCTGTTCACATTGACCACAATTTATTACACGCGACACACGCGCCTGATGATCGCTAAACACAAGATAGATGATCTGCACGTACGTGTATGTGTGACCGTGTGTGTCCCACGCAGTAATAACATTGACGAATATTTGAACCGGTCCTGGGCCTCCCCTAGGTCGACTCAGCCTTAACTGAGTACCTGGAGCGATGTGTAAACGTCGCTACTAGGGTGACATCTCAGTGGGGCCCCCTCAGACTCACTCCGAACCTAGTCCAGTTCCGGGCTCATCATGGCCAGCTTAGGGGCCTTACCGAGGTGCCGTGAGACCGTTTCCACAGCAAACCCCCGTGAGTTCAAGTTCAAGTTCATGTATTAGGTATAGCCCTGTGAGCCATTCGGCTCTTGAATCGGGTGCAACCGCAACAAACAAAAAACTAAAACATGAACAAAAAACATCCTAAAGTGAATATGTGACTATGTGCAAACAGAAAATCCAAGAAAAGACAGCAAAATATTGCAGAAAAAAACCGTACACCAACGCTGTGTGCAAAAATCCCAGTGGGATGCAAGTCAAACAACAAAGACCAGTCTTTGAGCTTTGCCAGGCCTGGCGTGGTGCGCGGTGCTCCAGTCGTGGTTTCACAGTGAGAGCAAGGAGTAGTGTCCCAGTGGGATGTCGAGAAAGAGAGAGAGCTTACCACGCTCGCACACCATGCTAATTGGTGGAGGCTCCCAAAGCATCACAATGCTTATGCCAGTGACATCAGTGCTGCAGCTGTTACCCCGCTCTGGGAGAGAGTCTTGGCCAAAACAACGTTGGTCGACGCATCTGTCTTGCAATAATAACAATAACAACGCAAGAAACAAGAATTGGACCCTTTGTTTTCGGAGGGCCCTGCGAGATGTGGTTGTTAGACCAATTCAATGTATTTTGTTGATGTTTGAAACTTAAATCGGAATAATTTTTTTTACAAAAAGTCTAAATCGATAACTCTTGTTCTTGTAATAATATATGAGTGTGATTGTTAAATATAAATCATATTTTGTCATACTTGCCAAATATAACTATTATACATATTTTAAAATATACTTTTTATTCCCAAAAATATTGCACTATTTGATTTCACATTTAAATTTGTAATTGATTTTTTAGTTAAGCCACACAATAATCTGGTCAAACAAATTTTAAAAAAATTCCAATTGCTCACACAAAATGGCACGTGTACGAATGCTTAAAGGGGGATAAAAATGCACAAAGCAGCGTGTAGTGGTGAATTCTTAAAATTACGCAAAAAGACAGAGGAACAACCCACGGTTCAGTGGGCACACACAAGTTAGACGTCACAATGACTGTTGAGAAACAAGAGAGTGACGGCCAAAGGAGGGGAAACGTTGCCCACGAGGACATCCACGGCCGATAACAGTGCGATGAAATTTACGTTTGTTTGTTACGTGGATGCCCCCCCCCCCCCGCTACAGCCAGTCGCACAGCGCGCGACAAAACAAAGACATCAATCCCGCAGGGAACGAGCACGGGGGCCCACAAGGAACCAGAGCTCGTCTGCCAGGGCCAGACGTTGCATCGCCAGCCTGTGACTGGTGGTGGCGGCTGGGGGAGGCAGCGGATAGATCGTGGCCGATGTTGGTTAGGATGACGACGAGGACGACGACGATGAATGGCGTCGACAGAATTCACGTTGATCACTTCCGATTAGCCGCGGTTGGCTACGTGCGGTTTCGAAAAAAAGTTCAGCATACATCACAGAACGCCCTTTCTGGTCACGGAAAGGATGCGCCTCTGGGCATAACTTTTGTTTCAACCCGAACCCTTCATAACATCAACCACTCATTTCCTGTGAACAACACATTCCTTGGAACTACATATTAATCCTGCCTGTCACCGACACTTATACAGTTCAATATACAAAGCTTCCTGTATTCTTACATCCTCGTGACATCAGAGCTGACGATAAGCAGCCTGACCGAAGTGGCTGCTATTCACGAGACAATGTATACACGCACAAGCGCCGGTCCCACGCCGTACCGCGCATCGCTAATCCTGGCCAGGTCATATCCTCCATTTAGAGCAATCGCGAATAATCTGCTTGGGATCCTAGGGTCGCTGTTCCTTTGTTTTTTCTCTCTCTCCCAATGCTCAAAATCCTCGTGATGCAGAACGTGTTTCTGTGTGTGCGTCACGCCACGAGAGACTGGGGCGCCGCTGCCACAGCGGTGTCACGGTTCGCTCAGCTGGACTCGCAAGTTCTGGGGCGCGTGGGTAGGATCGAGAAGCATCCAGCAGCATCCCACCACAGCGTGTGACGCTACACCGTGGCAGCCGCACGGCCGCCTGTTCCTACTCGCGCGACGTGGTTCCGTTCGCTCCATCCCGTTGTATATCCAATTCGCATGGTCGTTAAAAAAAAAATCCGTTCAATAATACATCCATCGCGTTGTATGTCCAATTGGCGTTACGAAACCCCGCGGCGTTACAGGAGAACAGACTGTACACACTCCAGCATCCTAATCGAGACCCCAAACGAAACCCCTTCAAGGGGTACTCCACCGAGCCCTATCTCCACTCCGCAATGTAAACCCCTTTCCTAACCCCGCCACCTTTAACACGCCTACTGCCCTGTCACCCACCACGTCTCCACCACTTCTCCATCCGTTGCGTCACCCTTCGTTACATTTCTACACACCAGCATCGAGACTTCCCCATCACGTCGGACCTGTGCCCAAGTCTACCGCGTGCTAGCTACAAAATGTGCCATTTCAGCTCGAGCTAAAAGCACTGTGGTACTGTTGCAGTTCCGTGTGGTGAGCAGAGCGCGGCATGCACAACAAGTCGTCTGCGACACGAATCTGATCACCCCAGGCACGGCTGTCACTAGTGGTGGCAAGTTCTATCTGAACCAGCTGCGTCTGTCCTCCCTTCAGTTTGCACAACGCGGTTAAGTAAGGCCACGCAGCACCGCACGAATATATCTGCTTGATGAGGCCTTCTTTGTCCAGCAGCAGTGAACTTTAACACAAAACTGCACATCATCGTTATTATTATTTTGCTCAGCTAACTGTGTTCATTGTTTGTGATTTTGTGCACTGCAAAGACAAAGTTTCCCGCATGTGTAGCCTTTAACGGACTGTTGGGACAAGTGCTGTTAGGGAGCGCACATGGAGGCTGGAGCTTCTGCCACACCACCACAAACATGAACATCTATTTGCTTGCTTCCGCCAACAACACCACGTTGCTTTCCTTGTAAATGCCACGTCGACCACGCTAATAATTACAATTTACTGATAGAATGTACAGTGCTCGCAAAAGTGACAACACATTGATAATAACGATACTGACATTTGTTTACCCAAGCCTCATAAAGTATGAAGATCTCCAACTCAGGGAGGGCTCTTCCATCGGAATGTTTGACCAATATCTTTAATGAGAGTGCTGCTTGTGGGAGGTTACACTCGCGTAACCAGACAAAAATCCAAACATCACAAGGTTACACTGTACAGCGTGGTCCAGATGTCTTGTGACACCCCCCTCCCCCCCCCCAATTTAATTCTCTCCCAGGCATAATATTTTTTAAGTGAAGTTTATTGAAAACATAAATGAATTTGCAAAGAAAAAAAAATAGTGGCCAATTAATTTGGAAGGGGGGGGGGGGGTGTCACAAGACATCTGGACCAATCTGTATAGTCCATCTCACATCTCAAGCTTACACTAACTAGTATTTACAGGCATTCTCCCTGCCAGCTAGAGGCTGTTCTCCTACAACTCCGCGTGTCGTTTTCATAGCACGCGAATTTTATGCAACGCGATGAATGCTGTATTCGGGAACACGTTCCTTATGACGTGGATGCGAATGGGATGTAACAGAACTACGTCGCGGCGCGAGTCAGAACAAGCGGTCGCGCGAGGCGGCGGGATGCTGCTGGATGCTTCTCGATGGCCACCCACGTGCCTCAGTCTTTGTTCGGCCTGCGTACACATCTCACGCGGCATCGCGGACTGTGCTTTGGGGCCGTTCATAAATGACATCACGCACCTGGGGGGGGGGGGGGGGTCAGACATTTGTGACGAAGGGGGGGAGGGAGGTTGAGAAATGTGACGTCACATCAAAATGCGCAACTTTAAATAAATATAGACAACACGTTCTACTTAATTAAATATACTTTTTAATAAATGTTTTCTCCTAGAACATCAAAGTGCAGCGCCACATTAAATACGCACTACAATGGTAATAGTTTAAAGCGATTTGAAGCATGTTTAATTTTTTTGGGGGGGGGGGCAGAGCTTTGTGACGTCATATTTGAGGGGGGGTCCGACTTTTTTTGACGCCGTGTGACGAGGGGGTGGGGGTCAAAAATCGTCAAAAATTGCGTGACGTCATTTATGGACGGCCCCTTTGCCCCACGTTAGATATTACTTATTTTAAACGAGATTTTCCATAACGTGGTGTTCCTCGGGGACGCGTTTACCGGGGAACGGACCCGCGCTTGCCATGATCGACTGTGCTTGACTCATGAGGTCACAATTATTTGGCGCAGTAAATAGAGTAAACAATTACATTGAACACTTTCGTCCCAAAGTGTCTGCCGGAGGTGTGTTTATGTTGGACAGTGGTCACCCATCAGCTTTGTAATGTTCACACATCGTATTTATAAAATGATCACGAATGTGCACTTGCGCGCACATGCGCGGTTACTCGAAGGGGGCCACATTGGGCGTGTAGGGTCGCTCTTTTAACATAGTACGTCAAGAAGAGACGGCTGCGTTTGCTTTAAAAACCTCTCCGTGTTTTGTAACCGTCCGTCTGCACTGAGTCACATCGACATGGATAATGTGCCAACCTGCACTGACCAGAGAGGTGAAGTATGGTCAAACAACTCTCATGTCTGAAACTGCATGGGGAGGACCTTCAATGGATTGACACGGAGCTGTACATTATTATGAATCATGAAAAAGAATGAACATTTTATTAATTATACATTTCATAGCCTGAGTCAATCCACCAATGTATTGATAAGGGATTGTACATAATTATAATGATCGAAAAATGTTCATCCCATGCCAATCCGTTGATGTATTTACGCCTTTTAACACTCAACATCCTGACACTGGCGAGCGGGTCTTAATCATTATTACTCTCTTAAAGTGGATGATTCATAATTTATAGAGCGTGGATGAGTCGCGTGGGGCGTTCCTAAACTCGCTTAAGGAAGTGTTCCGACCACTCATCCTCAACTGCTGCTACTAACACGCAGCAGAGGCAGCAGCAGCAGCAAGACCAACAACAGCTACAACAGCAGCTGCGAGATGCTGTTCCCGGCGGGACCACTCACCGCCATGGTGACGACTGCCCTGCTGCTGCTACTGCTGAGCACCTGGCTACAGGTGCGTCTCTCTCAAGCCCAGGATCCCAGCAGCGGACATCCCGACACCGACGAAGGTAACGTGGTCGGGCGGGTTTGGGGGGGGGGGGGCAGCGTGCCGTAGCTGGGGTGGATCGGGCGTGGCGGCTGCCACGCAAATCCGAGTGTGTTGAAGTGCTGCGAAAGAAGCGAGCAGCGGAGTTTGGTGGCAAATATTTTTTGGTGGGGCACTGCCAGCGGTTGCAGTAGCGGGTCTGGGGGGGGGGGGGGTACAGGTAAGAACCACACTGAGCTATCGATACAGCTTTTTTTCAGAAGCAACCTGGCCACACATTTTAGCTCAACGGAGTGGCTTATCGTGGGGAAATGTATAGCAGCCAAATCCTCTAAACGTGTGTTTCTTCTTAGACGCGCGTTCTATTGAACTATTTCAACTATTTTTGTTTTATTTTAACCAGGTAAGGCCCACTGAACTCTATGGTAGCTCTTTTTCAAAAGCGACCTGACTATCACATTATAGCTCAACGGAGTGGCTTATCATCATGTGGAAATGTATAGCAGCCAAATCCTCTAAACGCGTGTTTCTTCTTAGACGCGCGTTCTATTAAACTATTTCAACTAATTTTGTTTTATTTTAACCAGGTAAGGCCGACTGAACTCTATGGTAGCTCTATTTCAAAAGCGACCTAACTATCACATTATAGCTCAACGGAGTGGCTTATCGTGGGGAAATGTATATCAGCCAAATCCTCGAAACGCGTGTTTCTAAATGTGGAGGGGAAAACCGGAGGACCCGGAGAAAAATCCACACGAACACGTGGAGAGATATGCAAACTCCAAATATACAGCAGGCGTCAGGGTCGGGATCGAACCCACGACCTGCATACCAGGCGAGGGAGTTAACATCTCGCCTCCGCTACAGCTCTGGGGTTAGGAGGAGCAGGCGGTGGGGTGAGCGGCGGGGCAGATGGCTATGGTGAAACAACTGTCATGTATTAAATATTTTAGTGTTGTAATATAAAGGGGGCAGGCTGCTGTGGTTAGACTCGGCTTCACATGAAGAAATACATTGCGGTTGGATGCTGACTTGGCTAATCGACTGTGCAAGGTCGATTAGATTGGTAGCGTTTCAAATAGCGATTTAAAGCTTTCGTGACTGCATGGATTCATATTCTTGGTTCTTTCGGTGAAGTCACGTCGAAGGGAAATAATAAAATAATAAAAATGAAACATAATGAAATACAATTTTCACGACGTTTCGGCCACAACACAAGCAGCCGTCCTCAGGTGAAGAACAGAGCTGTTGGAAAGACAGCTGTCCATTAGGTGTTCATTAGGACGCTGTTTTTCAGACAGCTCTGTTCTTCACCTGAGGACGGCTGCTTGTGTTGTGGCCGAAACGTCGTGATAATTGTATTTCATCATGTTGTATTTTTATTATTTCATTATTTCCCTTCTACGTGACTTTACCGAAAGAACCAAGAATATATTTCCAATAGCGGTTATTTTTCCATTGACAAACTGAACAATGCCATATAAATGCGAAAGTTCCCCCTTCGGGTGGAGAGCTGTAAATAAATTAGTGCTGTCAATTGTCATCTTGGGCAGCACCACGACTGTCATGTGAAATACACGCACACAACAACAATAATGCCCTTCGTTTAGAGGTGTAGGATTGCGTTGGCAGTGGTGCAAAGGTACAGACAAACTCAACACGACGCTCCTCAATAACATTGCCCTAAAGAGGAAAAAATGTTTCCAACATTAAACATTTGAGACAATGCCCCCGCTCCCCCTTCCCCTTCATAGCAAAGAGGCCGCTTATTTATTGCTCATTTCCTTGCCAAACCCTTTTTAAAGTTCACATTTCCGAAATGACCAAATTGCCTGAGGTGCATCGGATCGTTTCACATCGCAGAAGCTGATTGTGTTGGCCTGGATAGTGTTTAAACTAGTGACCCCCATGCGTACGAGGTTGTTATAGACTGCGAGATGACAGGGTGGGGAGCAGAAGGTAGTGGCGAACAATTGTTGTACTGTAGTATGCCCCGATTGCTAGCCCCCCCCCCCCACACTTCCATCAACCCGCACTGAACAATGCGGTGAAGTATGGTCACATACTCTTTGATTATTTCGGTAAAGTCACGTAGGTATAAAATGAATCACGACGTTTTGGGCGCAACACAAGCGTCCGTCATCAGGGAAAGCTTGGTCTGCTGCTGAGGCAGACTGTTTTAAAAGGTTTGAAATGGGTGTAGCCCAAGGGTCATAAAGAAGTGGCCGGGGCTAGTGATGTTAATGTGAGAAATTATCATGTAACTGTAAGATAGGAGGAGAGCGGCCTCCTCAACGAGGGCACGGAAGTGGCTATGTTAATGTGAGGGATTAGCATGATGTTAATGTGAGAAATCAGCATGATGTTAATGTGAGAGATTAGCATGATGTTAATGTGAGAGATTAGCATGTAACTGTAAGATATGAGAGCAGCCTCCTCGACGAGGGAGTGCAACCCAACGGGTGCAATCCAAAGGGCCTGTGAGTATGAGAGGGCGATCCAAAGGCATGAGAGTGCAATGCAAAGGACATGTGAGCATGAGAGATCTAAGAGAGAGGCATAGAGAGAGACACACAGAGAGTCGGAAATAACAGCTGACATAGGCAGGTAGGATGGAAACATCGCAGTCAGTTAAGACTTTACCTGGTTAGTAACGTCCTTCCAATGAATGCTCAGTTTGTACCCATCCTATGGGTTGAAGTTGTGGCTGTGTTTATGGTCACATAACCCCACGCTGTGGCGAGGCCATCATCCAGCAGTGGATTGATAAATGGGTGCATATGCATGAGGATAATTTGTGTTAAACTTAAAACCAGAGCATGTTGTTGCACTAACAGTGAAGCTGGGTTTAACGTGGTATGTTGAATACAGTTTGAAAGAAAAATAAAATAAAATGTTTGCTCAAACGTGACCAAAAAATATACCACATCGTATTGTTTAATAATTCACGTGACACTAATTGGCCCAAAAAAATAATACAAGCCTATTTTTATAAAATTATACCAATTACTATAATGTCACTGACCCTAATAATCGAGGAAGTGCTGGTTTTAATTGGACGCAGTCTACACGGGGGGTTAATGGGTCCGTCAATTGACATTTGATCTCCCAAATTCATCACCTACAAAACAAAGCAAAATCAAATGTTTACAGAAAATAAGCCGGCTTAATCTACTGATGAAACCACGAAGGTCGAAACTCGCCCAGAGATTGCATTTTCTACTGCCTCGGTGTTCACGAAGTGTGCTGTAAAACTCTCCGATGTGTTTTGGGGCCCTACGGTCGCCAAATTCTTCTCATGAAATGAATTAAGTTCCTAAATGAGCTCCCAGCCTGTGGAGAGAAACGTCAGACATCGTGCCGAACAGCACGTGGTACGATACAAAAACACGTCGGGACGGTTTTGCGTGTTTAAACATATTTTCCTGGATGGCATTGCTCTCGGGGAGCCGGCTGACTGCAATCAGACAACACGAAAAAATGTAAACACAACAAAAAACACCGATTCTAGATTTGAAGTTTTCGTGACTGCAAGGGTCCATATTCTTTGTTTTTTTTTGTAAAGTCACGTAGGTAAAAATTTAAATAAAAATAAATTAAATCACGACGTTTCGGAGGCAACAAAAGCTTCCGTCTTCAGGTGGCACCGTCACAGCAAAATTTTACCTACGTGACTTTACCGAAAAAACCATAGAGTAAGAACCACTGAGTTCATAGCCTCATTAAAATATCAAGCGCAGAGTCAGCGTCCACACCGCCCGTTTTGCGGAGCCCCCTCCCCGCAGAATCGTAATATCTATTTATCCTGGAGAATGTCGATGAGCGAACTATGCTCGTGCTGGCCCTCTCTTCCATTCTCATACTCCTCAATCTGTCCTCAACTTTTGACACGGTTGACCATCTTACTCTTTTCTCCACTCTCTCTTCTCTTGGTATCTCCGGCACACCGATGTCCTGGCTGAAGTGCTATCTCTCTCTGCCCACCTCTGCGGTCTCATTCCATCATTGCCACTTCACCCCCCCCCCCCCAGCCCCCTTCACTGTTGGTGTTCCCCAAGGGTCAGGTCTTGGTCCACTACTTCTTTTCTCTCTATATATCTCACCACTTTTTTCTCACCACTTGCATCTTTTGCTTTCTTCGCCGAACGTTCCCCATCATTGATGACATCCATTGTTTTCTTCTCATTCCCTTCCTTTTTCACCCGACCTGGCCTCCCGTATCTCATCCTGCTTGGTTTCTATCCAAACTTCAACCTCGTGTCACGTAAACCCTTCCAAAAACTCAAATGATCTTTTTCCCCTACCTCCCATTCCCCTCCACCCTCTCCCACCACCTCTTTCCCTCTCTTTTTTTACTATTTCCCCTAGGCCCTCAGCCTGCAGCCTTGGCGTTATCTTTGACTCTTCCCTCTCCCTCACCGATCACATCTCCGCGACGAACCCGTGCTTGCCGGTTTCATTCGTTCAACATTCGCAAAATCCCACCGCTTATGTCCACGTCTGCTGCAAAACTCCAATCCCTTATCCGTACCCGTTTGGACTACTGCAACTCTCTCATGCTCAGTCTCCTCACTTACTCTGTTGCTCCCCTTCAGCAAATGCAAAACAACTCAGCTCGGATCATGTTCAACCTTCCCTATCATTCCCATACCTCGACCGTCTTCGCCGCTGCCTGTTCAAAACCCTCACCCTGCTCTATAAATCTCTTTATGGTGTCGCCCCACCATATCTTGCCACGCTTGTATATTTCTATGTCGCCTTCACGCCCTCTACGCTCTCAATCTTCGCTGTCTCTCTTTCTGTTCCTCCGTCTCCTTGAGCTCAATCCACGCTTTCGCTATTTTTATTTTCTCGCCCCCCCTCCCCTCTACAATGGAACAAAATATCCCTCCAGATGAAGCAGTCACCTCCGCTCGCTAGTTTCCGCTCCGCACTCAAAGCTCACTTATTTTCCAGAGCTCACCTCGCGACCCCCTTAATCTCCGCCTTCTGTCACCGTTATTTCTTTCCCTCTCCATATTCTCGTTATGTAGCTTTCACTCATTCTTGATTTATTCAATCCATTCATCATCGTTTACCGCCATCAATTTCACTGTCACCGAATTCACGCATCACAGAATTGTCCGTTGCTTCCGCTCATATATTTAAGTCACCTCGTCCCCACCATTAAATCCATATGTAGCATCGTTAATTTTGTGTAAAGGGCCTTGGGCAAGGCGCTATATAAATTCCTTGAAGGAAATGTGTCCAGTAGGGGCAGATTAGTTATGACAACAAACAAAACAAAACCACGATGGAAGTGCAAATGATAGGAAAGGTAAACATATCACTAAAAATAAATAGCTAAAATATAGAAAGTGTACGAGTTAAAATTGCTTAAGTATACCAATTATCAAGCTTGGGTAAGACAACAAAACAACAGCAAAAACAGTCCCAGACCACACCACATCCCTCAATAAAAATCGCACATTAAGATAAAACTATCGATACATGGGTAAGAAGCATGATACCTTTCTTGCCAGTATCAAAATATAAGAATTGGTTTTACCCTTTCTGGCAATAAAACAGTTGTGTTAAGGTGTGAAAACACCAAACACAAACCGTTTGCAAGGAATCATGTCACTGCATTAGCCACATACTTGTGGTGAACACGCACAAGGATTCCGTTTTGTGTTTTAACATGAGTTCAACACGTAGCAGGCTTTCGCGACCAATATTATTCAAAATCAACGTTTTTGGGTTAGATCACGTTATTTATAAATGTGTCGAAACCCTCCACCACCTGACACGGCCAATCAGCAAAAAAGTGTCACGTTGACAAAAGACAAATAGTTCACTGTTTTAACATCTTAACACAACTGTTTCAGTGCCATAAACGGTCAAAGCTATTATGATTTGGGTAAGAATTCTTAAATAACTCATTTCAGAGGTCGCAATCGGGTACCCCATACCCGTACCCTACCCGATACCCGGCTACCCGTACCCGGCCGGGTACGGGTACCCGTTTGCGACCCTGGTGCGGCCGGGTACGGGTACGGGTAAGGAATCAAAACCCGTTTGCGACCTCTGACTCATCTTCATCCCCTATGGGACACAAGGCTACAATGAGCTCTCCATCTTGCCCTGTCCTTGGCTGCATGCTGAGCCTCTCCCCATGAGAGGCTCAGCTGACCAAGATCTTTGGTGACGGTTCCTCGCCAGGTGGGTTCGACAGCCTCCCCGGTTTTCTTTCTTCCGGAGGCCCTGGGTAAGAATGACAGTCACAAATCACATTTTCAAACGCAATTGTATCCGGCACTAATCGTGTGCTTTAGGGTATTTTTAAAGGAATATTTACGACGTCAAGGGAGGAAATAAGTTCGTTCCCAAACGTTTATCTGAACCGGTCCTGGGCTTCCCCTAGGTCGATTCAGTCTCAAATGCGTACTTAGTGTGGTGCGGTGTGTAAACATTGCCACTAGGGAGACAAAGGCGGCCGGGCGTGGTGCTGGCCACCCTCCCCCTCGTGTGCCGTTCTGACATTCATAGGTGCTCGCTAACAGCACTTGCCCCTACAGTCTGTTAAGGCTATACGGGAAATAGTTTTTATTGGTTGTGCGTGCTCCCGTGTGTGTGTCTGTGTGCACTCGCGTGCTCCGCGTGTGTGCGCAATTGTGGCGACTTAATGCTGCCCTTCCGACGACAAGCTAGCATCAAGGCTCAATGTAAATGAAAATATCACTTATTTTTCTATTTATTACTTTATTTAATGTTGTGTTTACTTCACATTATTTTTGACAGTATTGCATGCAAATTTATAAAATGTCTTGTTAATTATGAGTTTAACAATGTTTACATATTTTTGAACTACATGGATTTCATAACGCTGACCGTATGAGCATATTAACGTTGACATTACTGTGTGTTCCGACTGATAAACCGTTCGAGTTACGAACGGGTCTCAGGAACGAATTCGGTTCGTAACCCGAGGACTGCCCGTATAGTGTAGATTTGCTAATAAGACATTTATGGATGAACAGGATCAAGTGTAGCTTTCTTCTTGTATCCAGTAATGTGAGATAACATTTTATGTAGATGTCGCAATGGTATGGTACACCTAGTGCAAATCGAAGAGTAGAATGATGAAGCGGGTTTAGTCTGTTTAGTATTTCATAATTAGCTGATCATTAAGCAAGTGTCACAGTAGTCAAAAGGTGGTAAAATGATAGCTTCAACAATTTGCAGGCGCAATCAAATGGGAAATCAATGTTTCCGTATAAAACCCCTATTTTTTATTTTCTCTGAGATGTGATCAGTGTGCGTGTTGAGTGTGTTACATTATAACACAGACATTCACACAAAACACACACGGTTTAACACGTAGGCTTTCGGGACGAATATCTAAAATAGAGGTTTTTGGGTTTGATCGTGTAAAAAAAAGTGTCATTAAACCCACCAACACCCGACACAGCCAATTAGTGACAAACCTTAATAATTGGCTGTGTCGGTGGTGGCAGGTTTAACGACACATTTATATTTACGCAATTGAACCCAAACACCTCTGTTATGGAAAATGCACACGGTAAAGAAATTGTGCTCACGGCTGATTCATTCGCACCTACCAACAGATGCATCACTCCCAACAGCACTTCTTTTCAACGCGGATAGGAGAATCTCAGTGGCGTGAAACCCCATAGAGCCGGAACATCACCCCTAGTGTTCCTGAAAACAGACCTCATTAGCTGGTCCGTGTACAGTAATCGCCGATAACACGCATAGGATGAATACGCATTGGGCAAGGTTTTACATGTACACTGCCAATAGCACATGGGTTGCCTCGTGTTGATAACATCTGCGGTGAAACTGGCAGTCGTGATTGTGGTGCAGACGGGATACAGATGCTGTGTGATACAGGTGCTAATACACCCATTCGTGGTGCACGTTCAAAATTTCATGCTGGGGTTTTTTTTTTACAGAAGCGTAACGGAAGTATTACAATGTGAGAAAATAATGAAGAAACGTTGGGTCGCTTGTCAAATGCGATCGTCTCAATGACTGTCTTCGTGCCAAACGTCTCCGTGACAGAGGACACATTCGCAACCGTGATCTGGGGTAGAGGGGAAAAGACCTCTCCTTCGAAACCTCCAAAAAGACAAAAGGGGGAGGTCTCAACTTGCCTTCTGCTGACCCCCACTGTCGTTGTGCATGTTTTTTTCCGTGCACGTATTTCCTTGTGCAGTTGTATTTTTAAAAAATAGTAATTTATAGAAACAGAAGTGAGCCGGTTCGTGGCATTAAGTTCTCTTTAAGTAAGTAACATTTTACAAGAAAAGAAAAAAACTGTAGATTGCCAATTTCGGTGCATTGCCAAAAGTTTTTTTTTTTTAATGCAGAAGCGGTACGATTTCAACATGCAGTGCCGTGGCATATTCAAAAGTATATTCTTACACGAGTTTTTGGGCCGTAACGTGTGTTGTTTGGGATGAGGTGCGTTGTTCCACTTAACGTGCTAGAAGTTCAATGCATGGAGGGAAATGTGCCAGATGAACCTGGACACAATGTGGTTTCAGGTCGGGGCAGTCCCATACAGGTTCCACGTTGCGTGTCCCCCTTTTCACGTCGTTTCGCAAATATGCGTCGTCACTTTAATCTTATTAATACCACCATCACCACGTGACTTGCGTTGCCTCAACCCCACGTGACTCGCGTCGACTGACAGCACCGTCCGTACTTTCTCGTTATACGTCGCCTCTCACCCTTGGACTCCACTTACCGTGTCCATCGCTTTGATTGACGTCGTTTCGATGTTCGTCGTCGCACATTTCAGCGAACGCATCCCCGACGTAAACCGAGGTATTGCCGTATAAGGAATTTCAACAGGACCTACATAATCTTCTTGGTTCTTTCGGTAAAGTCACGTAGAAGGGAAGTAATAAAATAATATATATATAAGCTGGGCGCATTGTCAATGCATTGTCAATGCGCCCAGCTTATATATATGCTCCAAGCCCGTGTGCTGTTTCATTCAGACTCTGTCGCCTCGACGGACCTGGTTTTCACCTGAGGACGGCTGCTTGCGTTGTGGCCGAAACGTCGTGAGAATTGTTTTATTATGTTTTATTTTTATTATTTTATTACTTCCCTTCTACGTGACTTTACCGAAAGAACCAAGAAGATGAATCCCTGCAGTCACGAAAGCTTTAAATCGAAATAGGACCTACATAAATTTCGATTTAAAGCTTTCGTGACTGCAGGGATTCATCTTCTTGGTTCTTTCGGTAAAGTCACGTAGAACCTACATATACAACATATTTGTTGCTATGTTTGATTTTTTTTACGTCCTGTATGCTCGATTTGAGACATTTAACGGACATTATTTAATGTTGTCAATAATTAATGTTTGCGCGCGCACCATGTCAGGTCAGTGTTCCGTCGCTTTTGGTCTTTACGCGCGTAACAACCGAAGTTAACTCAAATATCCGCTTGCGTGTGTCTATCCGCTTGCGTGTGCATAGAGTTGCGAAGCCGGGGGGTGGAGCGCTTCCTCAAGCCGGGCCTGGCCGCCTCGGTGCTGCTGCTGGAGCCCGAGCGTGGAGCGCTGTTCGTGGGGGCGCGTGGAGCCGTGCTGCGTCTCACGGCCGCCAACGTCACGTCCAAGCCCAGCCTCGTGGTAACGCAGCTCCACCTGTGACGCATCACACAGCTCCATCCTGTAGCGGCTCCACCCTCATGTATCGCAGGCTCCACCCTCGCAGCTCCACCTTCCTGTATCGCAGCTCCACCCTCGTCCCACTCAGCCCCACTATCTGCCGACTGCTTATAGGGCGGGTGGTTCTTCACCTTTACTGCAGCTTTGCACCCCCAGTCCACGTGCCGCACCCCTCCCCAATAACCATTAGCGGGTGACGTCACTCCACATGGGGCAACCACCCGCCCACATGAATAATCATGAGCTGAACAATTTTCCTATTGAATATTTCAGATTTACTGCAATATACACCCGTCCTTGGCAAACAAGCTAGTAATTAATATATGTATTCTAGAAAGATATTTGGTAAAAAAAATCATCATGCAAATAAAAAATGGTCAAATTTTGTTTTGTAGGCCCTTTAGTTTTCTTAGGCCCTTGCGGGCACTGCATGTTGGATAATACGACCCTGACCTTTGCCGTGTGCCCACAGATCTCTTGGGATGCTGAAGAATCTTCCAGGGACCTATGTATCAGTAAAGGCAAGACGGTGGTGAGTCGCTCGCCGACTTTCTACATCCGTTGAGATTCATCCACATGTCTGCACAGAGCTTCCAATGTCCAGGCAAACCCAGGATGCGTTCCCCAATACCAGAGCGTAAATCGAAAGTACGTACTTAAATCGAAGCAAGGAGATGGGATGGTGGATCATCACGTGATACAGAACCAGCTACTACTGCAAGGAATAGTACTACTACTAGTCATAGGCACTCGTAGTTGTAGGTAGTATTTAGTAGTTGTAGGTAGTAGCTGGTCGTACCTGCCATGAGGGATGTTGGATCATAACCTGGTACACAACCTAAACAGGAGATGCTCAATAACCCATTGTGCATCTGTACCGTACAACTGTTGGTGTGAAAAGTTGATATTATCGATGCATCAAGATACATTCCCGTGTCTATGATACAATATGTATTCTTATTAATCGTTTATTATATATATAAAAAAGTAGTTTACACTTGTATAAATAAAGTCGCAATAAAGGCGGCATGTGGAGGGGGGCGATATGAATAGAGGATGTGTAGACACGACAGATACTGCTGCCGAGAGAAACGCAAACGCTTTGGGCGCCATCTACCGCACGAACTACAAACCTATCAAGCCCTCATCAGTGCCCTAGCTTATAACAGACCAACTCAGACCTTACTGGTCACCCCGTGCCCTTATAAATCTCAACGTTCATCCTACAAAGGCACTATACACGACTCTACTATACACTATATTACTATACACTACACTACACTGTAGTGTATAGTGTAGTGTATAGTATAGTGTACAGTGTCGTGTATAGTGTAGTCTATAGTGTAGTGTATAGTGTAGTGTATAGTGTAGTCTATAATGTAGTGTATAGTATAGTATATAGTGTCGTGTATAGTGTAGTCTATAGTGTAGTGTATAGTGTAGTGCCTCCATCGAACCCAATCTGTTCACTTATCGACCATTCCCCTGTTAACGATGGGATGTTCTAGGTACAGTGAATATGAATTAATGCATTAATCAAGTGTTTATTGGAATAACATGTGTTAATAATGTTGTTTGCTATCTTTATGTATTCATATCCATTGTTGACATATTATGAAGTATTTTTTGGGGCAAAAAAGGAGTAACTTTCGATTGCTTCAGAACGAATTAAGTCTTTGATGTGCAATTCCTAAAATCGCTTAGCGAGCGATTTCGTGGAACCAATTGCCGTCGTTAAGAGGGGTCCTACTGCACGTTATAGCGAAAGTGCGTACCACGGGAGGGCTTCAATCGGGGCATTACTGTAATTCTGTAATGCATGAAACGCTATAGCCATTCACGAAACAAACATCTTACACAATGCAGGTGGCATTAGGGGGGGAAATGGGCCAGAACGCTGTGGTGGGAGTGACATTTTTAACGGAACTGCGTTAAGGAAGTAACCAGGTGGGGACAGTCTCTCTCTATATACACATCCTGTATAGATCTATGTATATATGATTCACACGTGTCTGTCCGTCACGCTTTCGACCTCCCAAACGGTATGCGTGATGAAACGTAACAGAAATTTAACATTGTTTTATTATTTGAAATGACCGTGCTAAAGCAGGGGGAAAAAGTAATGTATTGGTCAGTGCTCTCTATGTGTATATGCTGTGAAGAAGGTACATTGTCTGAAACATCACGATTATTGTATTTTTTTTCTTTAAAGGCCATTGACAAATGTGTTGTGTTTTCTGAATTGCCAGGCCAGTAGCGGCATTTCTGGTTATAGCCAAACCCAAAATCACGGAGAGTGGAGAAGCGTCATCAGCACCGTCATAAAAATTACAGAACTCCTGTCATGATTAGGGACAACACACACATACGACGTGGAAATTACACCACTCCCGTTGTTTTTTGACTGTCTGCGTGACGCCACCGTTGACCTACGCCGGTCGTTCTGACCCACGCCGGTCGGCCTGGCCCACGCCGGTCGGCCTGACCCGGCATGCCGTGCTGGTGTTCCCGCAGGACGAGTGCCACAACCACGTGCGGGCACTGCACCTCAACGGCTCGCGCCTGCTGGCCTGTGGCACTGGCGCTTTCAGCCCTGTGTGCGCGCACTTTGTGAGTGAGAACCTCCGGGCACCCCCGTCTGTCTGCGTGCATGCACGGTGCCTACTTACCCACGGCTGAAAAAAACACTGCTGCGATAATGCTACCAAATATTTATAGCAGCCGTATACTCTGAACGCATGTTTCTAAATGTGGAGGGGAAAACCGGAGGACACAGAGAAAAATCCACGCGACCATGGGGAGAACATGCAAACTCCAAGTATGCAGGGTCGGGATCGAGTCCACGACCTCCTATATACCAGGCGAGGTAGTTAACATCTCACAACCGGGATGCCCCTTTGAAAATGTATCCATTGCACAAACCACAAACAGAAAGGCATGTGCGCAAAAATCAAGGCTGCAATTATTATTTATTGGGGAACCTTTTTTTGTCAAGGGTCATTTGGATATTTATAGCATCATTCGCGGGCCATACAAAATTATGAACTTAAAAATTTGCCTGTTATATTTGGTTAAACACTTAATTAACTCACCCGGTTGCCTTGGCAGGGCCAGACCAAATGATTTCGCGGGCCTTATACGGTCCGCGGGCCAGACCTTCCCCACCCCTAAACGATGATTTGACTTGTACTCTTTGGTTCTTTAGGTAAAGTCACGTCGGTATAAAATAAAATAAATTAAATCACGACGTTTCGGGCGCTACACAAGTGCCCGTCATCAGGTGGGACAACCACAGCAAGAAACAATTGCTGAATTGCTGTACTCGGTGTTGAAGCTTGCACTTCTCCACTCCCCGTACCCAACACCCGCCCCCCTCTCTGTCTCTCCTCCCTGGCTCCTCCCCCCCTCTCTGTCTCTCCTCCCTGGCTCCTCCCCCCCTCTCGATCTCTCCTCCCTGGCTCCTCCCCCCTCTCTTACCTATATAGCCTCTTGTTGCAGCAGCCATTTTGCCCACTTCAGCAATTGTTTCTTGCTGTGGTTGTCCCCCCTGATGACGGGCACTTGTGTTGCGCCCGAAACGTCGTGATTTAATTTATTTTATTTTCTACCTACGTGACTTTACCGAAAGAACCAAAGAGTATGGATCACTGCAGTCACGAAAACTTCAAATCTAGATTGATTTGACTTGTGGTTATCTGCGGATCTACCTGCAGATCCAGGTTCGAACTGAACTCGCCACTGGCGTACTCTGTTGCTGACCTTGTACATCGAACACCAGCTGTCATGCTCATCGCTTTAGCAGCAGTCAACCCATACGGTTTACCCTGTATTCTTGTACAGATTGAGTAAAAAACATGTTTTTGTCTATTTGTGTTTCTCGCTTGTGATTGGACATTGTAGGATGAACGTTGAGATGTATAAGGGCACGGGGGTGACCAACACGGATTGAATTGGTCTGTAATAAGGTAGGGCACAGATAAGGGATTGACAGGGATGCGTGCCCATCACTTTCTCCATTTGCAGGACCCTGACAATGGCACAATGCTCAGCACAGTGGGAATGACAAGCAAGTTCGTGTACGACCCCGCGAGCCCATGCATCTCCGTGCTCATCAGTGAGTGATACCGAACCTCCTGACTGCGTGGCAAATTCGGTTTGCCGCTAAAGTTACACTTTGCCACTGCTCTTGTTTTGTCCAACCTATGTGCATAAATGTGGCATCCCGGTTGGATGGCACGCGATATTGTTTTGGACTCGTTTCTTGCATGGGCGATAATTACACTCCGCCGTCTAATCCTCGTCCGCGTGATTGCGGGTGGGGGTGATGTCACTCGGCTTCTCTTCCCATGCGTGTAGTGAAAGTACGAGTCACAAAGTGTACGAATCGGGGTCGGTGGCATATGAGCGGGTCCGCGTACTCTGAGCCCTTCCCGTATTTTTCACGTTGTTTGTGTTGTGAGCCTCGTGTCTTGTGTCAAGTACCCGTTTAATGCTGCCCACTCTTTGCAGATAACAGCCTGTACTTGGCGACAAGCAAGGATTTCCAGGCAACGCTAAACAGCATCTTCCGGACAGATGGATCTCATAGAATGTTTGCGACTGAGAAAAGCGCTGCTACCCTCAATGGTAATTGATGAGTTAAACATCGCTTCTCTTTCGAAAAAATGCAGTCCGATATGCCCCCCCCCCCCCCCACTGTTCCCCTCTTGTCTCATGCATATCTCTGTAGGGTCTGTGTAATCTACGAGCTTTGCACATCCATACAGGACAACAGACTCCTGTGCATGGCCAAGTGACCCAGTCGACCCCCAGCGTTCTGACTGATGTCACAAGCAACTCACTTGTCATTAGCCGTGGCTGCTGTAAATGTCCCACATGATCAGCCACTTCGTTGAGCTATCATTTGTGATAGCCAGGTCGTTTTTGAAAAATAAGCTAACAGGTTAGTGGGCTTTACGTGTTAAAATAGAAATAGTAAAAAAAAAAGTGATTTGCTTACCTTTGCACTCCTATAGTGTTTAGTACTCGTTGTTGTTGTAGCGTTGTGACCCACCCCTACTGGACATCTGTAACAAAGAGCTTTATAGCTCATTGGATGCCTCCAGTATTCGAAGGAATATTCCTTTTCTGATATTCTGATTCTCTGGCTCTGCCTGGCCCTGAGCCAGAATTCGATTATTTTTTCGTGAGGCCAGCGTGTCTTGGTTCTGGCTTGGCTTGGGGAAACAGCCAGGTGAAAATCACTCGTCCCACGAGGACCGCACGCTGGCTCGGCCAGGATGTGCTGGTGGAGAAGGGGTGTGGGCGTTAAACCCAGGGCAGGGGGGGGCTCTACCAGAGGTCGCAAACGGGGTTTGATTCCTTACCCGTACCCGTACCCGGCCGCATCAGGGTCGCAAACGGGTACCCGTACCCGTACCCTACCCGATACCCGGCTACCCGTACCCGGCTGGGTACGGGTAGGGTACGGGTACGGATACCCGATTGCGACCTCTGGGATGAAGCCGTGTTGCAGGCGTGGGTGGGTTGATTCTAGGAACTTGAATTGTGAGAAGAGACAAGACGTTGGGAAATGAGTGACAAACGGTGACTCACCAGTGACTCATGGCCTACCCGTACCCGTACCCGGCCGCACCAGGGTCGCAAACGGGTACCCGTACCCATACCCGGCCGGGTACGGGTAGCCGGGTATCGGGTAGGGTACGGGTATCGGGTACCCGGTTACGACCTCTGGGCTCTACGTTACAGATCCTACCTTCGTGGCCTCGGAGGTGGTGGAGCCCGGCGAGGGAGGGGGCGGCCGCCACGTGTACTTCTTCTTCACTGAGACGGCCATGGAGTACGACTACATCCTCCAGCCGCGGGTGGCGCGCATCGCTCGCGTCTGCACGGTAGGTTCGGTGGAAACATCTTCATCGTCGTCCGTCATTTCGTCTTAATTATCCTGCTTCATGTCCATTTGTCGGTGCATTGACTTGTCGTTATCAACGCAAAAATAAATATCCGTTTCTCCGCGTAAAAAATAAAGGTATTTCTTACACGAACCACGAACCACACAGCCTTCTGTGATAGCACATTCTCAGCAGCATTATTGCTAAACAAGCAAACTCTGGAATTGATTTTAAAATGCAGTGTCTCATCGGCAGAGACAAATATGGATGAAAACCGACACGCTAAGTTCAATCTGAGATAAATACTTTCACCGTCGAGCTTAACACCTTTATTTCTCGATTGAAAGTTTTCGAAAATATATTCTCGTGTTGCTATGACAATCCTCTTCAGTTTTATTCGAGGAATTTGATCGTTTTTAGAGTTAATTCTTGATTGAGGCTTTGGTTTGTGAAAGCTTGGATGACCGCTTTCGATGGCTGCTGTTATGGTACACCACGGTGGCTACGAGATGTTAACTCCTTCACCTGGTATGCAGGAGGTCGTGGGTTCGATCCCGAACCTGACGTCTGTTTGTTTGGAGTTTGCGTGTCTCTCCGTGGTCGCGCGTATTTTTCTCCGGGTCCTCCAGTTTTTTCCCTCCAGATTTAGAATCAACATCATGCGTTTAAGAGTATTTGGCTACGATAAATGTCCACGCGATGAGCCACTTCGTTGCTTTATCACTTGTGGCCAGGCCGCTTCTGAAAAAGAGCTATATAGCTGAATGGGGCTATCCTTGTAAAATAAAAATAAATGTATAGTGTAGCTTTCACGAAATCAAATTCATTTTCATTATCTACAAAAGCCAGGCAAAGGTATTCATTTGTCTTACCTATAATTTGATGGACAGCATCAATGTCAGCTGATCATCAGGCATGGTCTCATGGAGAAAATGATACAATGTTATAATAAAAAAAATTATGTTTATAACCGGCGTATCCTGATGTTTGTAAGCGGAATGTTATTTCTTTATTTGCATCTTGCACAAAAGTTCACAAAGGCGGTGGCTGCTCGTCACTACGTAAACAGGCGTGTGTCCTGGCCCCTGGTAAACACCTGCGAATGATAGTTCACAGAAACCGCTATAGAGCCGACCCCTACCGTCAGCTGTGAAGCCGTGGCTCGCGCATTCAATATGTGTGACCTCTTTCCAGCCAAAGGTTAAAATCGTTCACTTATTCACTCTGCGTCAGTCCTCGATGATCGATCAATCCAACTTAATCCTTTCCCATTCCGACGGGTCTGCAAGTGGCAGGGTGGGTGTCCCGTTGACTGCAGAATCTCAGAACGTGCAAGTGGTTTGGCGTTAATTTCATTTAGAGAGGCGCAGCGCCATTATTTTTATAAACACTTTATTCACCGCAGAGAACTGTAGCGGCACGACCGCATTATCTGCAATAGCTGGCGCCAAACTGTGCCGCACGCTCTCCTGCGTGGCCTTTTACTTCCGATTCCGTTCCGATGACTTATTTATTTATACCGGAGAAATCTGAACACGTGCGTCATCGCAATGGGAAAGGGTTTCGTTTACTTCACTTTGACGGACGGGGAGGTCGCCGTTTGGCTTTGCCACGAGCTGCGTGCAGGACGACAAGGGAGGGCGGCACATTCTGCAGAATAAGTGGACCTCCTTCGTGAAGCTGCAGCTCCAGTGCTCAGTGGCCGACCTGCAGCTGCCG